ATGATGTATCACTTGTATCACAATGTATCACTTGACGAAAAAAAGAACATTGAGTCAGACTTCCCATCGGCTGCACTCTCCTCCCCACACCGGATTCAGAGCTCCGACTTCTGGGAGAAGTGCGTTTGCAGATGGAGTCCCTGTAAGGGCCGGTGGATCTCGCTGCCTTGGTACCAGCATGGGGAATTTGATGCCAGAGGTTTGTGTTTTGCTAGCTCCCCTGTACCACGTGCCGGCCTGCTGTATCGGGCCTTGCCGGAGAGATTGAGCCTAAGCGTTTCCGGCCGACCTGCAGGACGGGCGGCTGTAAGCGATGCGTGAGAGATGGGGGGTAGGGGTGAGGGGGTGGGGCGCACGCTGACTGTCCACACGTCAGGGAGCCACTATAAATAGCGATGCCAGCTGATGAGGTGCTTGGGGACAGTGCCGCCCCTGGCAGGTCTTGCTCCTCCAGTCCTATCTGTGCATCATTAACAAACTTAGGCTCAGAGAGACAGAGATCTTTATTTTTTTTCTTTAGGATCAAAAGCTGACAACCCAGCAAGTCCATGGAAAAAGACCTTTTGTCCCCCTGGCTCCTGAAGCACAGGAGTTTGGTACATGTTTGGAGGGGTGGGTTGGGTGCAAGGCCCCAGCCTGGTCCAATCACCGGCACTGTGACATCATCACCATCATCATCCCTTGAGCGCAGGAGGGCTCCCGCTCGGATATGGCGATGCCGTCTGGAATGTGGCCCGTTTGTTTTATGAGTGCGGGAGGGTGTTTGCAGGGGTGCATATGTAGGGGGGAGAGAGAATGGTAATGGGATAATGAAAGGGCTTGGGGTTGGGTGGGATTTATGTGAGCATGCCGGTCTCTTCACATGTTAAAATCTCATTTTTTTTGTTTTATCTCTTTGGATGAACCACCATCTACTGAACAGGGAGTGAACACCCCCTTTATTTTCAGTGGTACTAGGTCTGACACATCTAACATGCACTCAGCTTGAGTCTCAGGACTCGCCACCATGTCAACCAGCCCAGGCAGTCCTGCACTGTTACCTAAATCCATTTTTCTGAAAGAGAAAATATTTAAAAACCTCTGTTGCTCACAGGAGCTACTTTTTTCCCTCCTTATTTATGCTTTTTTCATTTTTGTAATTGTTTCACATCAATGCATGAATTACTCCTGGAAATCTAAAGATCCTCTTTCCATAGGCGAGCTTTCTGTCAGGCTGCTCCGGCGGGCCGTGCTCTGGCCACTTGGTGATGGCTTTTCCTGACACACTTCTGATTATCCGGGCTGAACTGCCCAATCACGCAGCAGAATGGTTGGCTTGTAAACTTTAAATGCAGCTCCAGGCCCTCTTAATCCCCACGCATTAATGTAGCCCGACTCGTGGGCCAAAAGGCGCGCCACACAATGCCCGAGCAGCCTGGGGCTACACCCCAGTGACCCGTAGAGTCAGTTGCAGCTAGAATCCATGGAAATTCAATGGGGATGGGAACTGCTTTGGGAAATTTCATGTTTTAAGAATCATGTGTAAATTTTATTCATCTATTTACTTTGAATTTTTCTTTTTTTCCTTTTTCACATGTACCCCTAGGACATTTATCAATGTTAGATTTGAATGTTTTGAATTTTTAATTTCCCTTTTAACATAGGACATTTAATAATGCCAGGAAGCAAAATGGCATTATAAAAACGAGAACTAACTTTTCATGCTGCCCTTCAAGACAGGGGCTGAGAGGCCCACACTCTTGCCGTACAGGAGTGCTCACTCATTACCGGGCCTCGGGCAGAGAGGCCTGCACTGCCGCCGTACAGGAGCGCTCACTCACTACCGGGCCTCGGGCAGAGAGACCCGCACTGCCGCCGTACAGGAGCGCTCACTCATTACTGGGCCTCAGGCAGAGAGGCCTGCACTGCCACTGTACAGGAGCGCTCACTCATTTCCGGGCAGAGAGGCCTGCACTGCCGCCATACAGGAGCGCTCACTCATTACCGGGCAGAGAGGCCCGCACTGCCACCGTACAGGAGCGCTCACTCATTACCGGGCAGAGAGGCCCGCACTGCCACCGTACAGGAGCGCTCACTCATTACCGGGCAGAGAGGCCCGCACTGCCGCCGTACAGGAGCGCTCACTCATTACCGGGCAGAGATGCCTGCACTGCCGCCGTACAGGAGCGCTCACTCATTACCGGACCTCAGCCAGCCCCGACATCCTTTCAATGTATATTAATGATCTGCCTTAGAACTTCAAACGACCAACCTTATCTATTTATTCAACGCTCACCCCTTTACCCTTCATTATAATCTCTACTTGTTTTAAACTTGTTAGCAATTAGCAGACTGGGACGGCTGGGGCAAGTGCCCAACGGAGAGGGGCTAAGTGCTAGTACCTTGCTGTAGCTAGTGGCTAAGTGCTAGCACCTTGCTGTAGCTAGCGGCTGCCATCACTACTGTGAATTTTGACTAAATGTTGCTTTTGTAATGTATTGTAATGCATCTCCCTCAATTCTGAGGTAGTTTGAAATATTTCAGGGCGCTCAGAGAGTGCCAGTAGGGATTAGCAGTGCCTAGTGTGGTGTAAACAGCCTCCACCTGCTCTGTGAGCATGTACTATGCTTAACGTCATTAGTTTGGCAAAGATTAACGAGGCAGATTTGGGTCATGAAACATGCGTGGGCAAACCGGAACAATTTCTGTGTGTCCCAACACAGCTCTGATTAAAGACACTTGTAATGAAAGAATTTTTCATAAACAATGTTGGGGTAATGCATGATAAACCAAGTGTATTGTGATTATCTTAATGCTATTAATGTGAAATATTTGTTTGTTTATCATAACAAGCTGTTTCAAAACAGGCAACCTAATACGGAGAAAGGGAATGATTCTGTCCACAGTAATGACTGTCAATATGACCGTTGATGAGAGTATTGTTGAGCACTGTTTTTAAATCTCTGCATTTATATAAACAAGAAACCAGGCTTTCTTAAGGTGGTGGCATAAGAGGGGCCATAATTCATGCAGGGGGCCAACCATATCTTTAGTCAATGTCAGAGAAGGGGCACCCAAGAGCCAATCAGCTTTCAAGGGCCTCTGCCTTCTTTACTGTGACTGTCAGCTGGGGGGAGGGGGGTCTGCTTTCAATCATCCCCCCCGTGACACAGCTGCGTGTGACTTTGAGGGTGTTCTTAGATGCCTGTCTCCGTTGCTCATCTCTTATCTACCGCGTGCCAGATAGGGGGAGTCTGTCCTCTGCCTGTCCCGATCTCATCTGAACACGGCCCTGATCGACAGGCTGACAGCAGCACTCGGCCGCAGCCCGAAATCAGAAACATGAGGTTGTGGGGAATATCGCACTCCAGGTCTGATAGCGAGGACAAGGTGGATGATGGAGAATGATGTTCGGAGGGGAGGGGGGGGGGGGGGGGGGGGGGGGGAGGGGTAAGAGTGAAGGTAAAAAGGGGCAGAGAAAGCCAAGTGCTGTGTAGGATCAGTAGTGTAATACAAGGGAGGTTTGTGGGACGCATTTGAAGCCATGACACTGTCATCCCCCATCCCTCTGTGTACCCCTGTACGTTCCCCTGTCCTCTGTACGCTCCCCTGGTTCCTGTACATTTCCCAGTTCTCCGTACTGTCCCCTGGTCCACATATGCTCCCCTGTCCTCTGTACACTCCCATGTTCCCTGTACGTCCCCCTGTCCCCCATTTGTTCCTCTGGTCCCCATACATTCCCCTGTTCTCCATACGTTCCCTTGTTCCCCATGTATTCCCCTGTCCTCCGTATGCTCCCCTGTCCTCTGTACACTCCCCTGTCCCTGTATGTTCCCCTGCCCCCCCGTATATTCCCCTGTCCTTCATACATTCCCCTGTTCTCCATACGTTCCCTTGTTCCCCATGTATTCCCCTGTCCTCCGTATGCTCCCCTGTCCTCTGTACACTCCCCTGTCCCCGTATGTTCCCCTGTCCCCCCCTACGCTCCCCTCTTCCCCATACATTCCCCTGTCCTCCGTATGTTCCCCTGTCCTCTGTACCCTCCCCTGTCCCCCCCTACGTTCCCGTCCCCCCTACGCTCCCCTCTTCCCCATACGTTCCCCTTTCTGCCGTACACTCCCCTGGTCCCCGTATGTTTCCCCTTCCCCCCTACGTTCCCCTCTTCCCCATACGTTCCCCTTTCTGCCGTACACTCCCCTGGTCCCCGTACGTTTCCCCGTCCCCCCCTACATTCCCGTCCCCCCTACGCTCCCCTCTTCCCCATACATTCCTCTGTCCTCTGTACGCTCCCCTTTCTTATACACAAATGCCACTAGGCTCCTACACTGACGAAAGGATAACAAAAAAGACCAGCAGCACAGGACCTCACCTGATACCCGGAACTGGTTTGGCGAGCTGGGGTCTCTCTGGCTGTTACGAGGCCGGTGCTGTCCTTTAGTGCAGTGAAAGACAGGGCCTGTCCTACCTAGATGGGACTCAATACATATTAATGCATCAGGTAGCAGTCAGGGAGCTCTGAGTCACCACACCCCCTCACCAACACCTATGTCTGTCAGACACACTCGTCACTCAAACAGAAGTTGGATATCGGTAGCTAACCTGTATGACATCATGTCCGGAGGGAGTGAAGCCACTGCAGACATGATGGGTACAGTGGAGGAATAAGGGTGGTGGGGAAACCCAGATCTTGCGTCTGAAAAGGGGTAATCTGACTGTGTCACACGTCAGAGTTTGCTTAAATCCCTTCTGGCAGAAGTGGCCACAGCCACATGTCTTCATGGGGGGGAGGGGCACAGGGGGGAGATGTTCTCTTTGAGGTTTTTTTGGTTGTTTACCACCTTATTTAATAGGTTCTGTGACATGTCATTGGGCAGCTCCAAGGTCTTGTTCACCGTTTCCCTGTGTAACTGCGTGATGTAATCCCAGTCTTCGCACACCGCTCGTCATTCTGTAGGGGGGCTGTGTTACCTTCAGAGGGACGGTCACTGCCATAGCTCACACAGGCCTGTTCTCTGTTCCAGATTGCTGCTTCTTGCCTGGGGTGCCGTGTGGAGCTCCTCGTTTCCAACACTAGCTTGCTTAAGGAAGAGTCCCCAGCAGGAGGCTCTCTTGCCCTCGCCTCTGGCCCCCACTCCCCGGGCTGACCAGGGAGCTGTCCGTCACAGGTGAGTGTGGCTGGTCTGTCTATGGTCGTGCCCTGGACTCCCACATGTGGTCACATAACCCAGGGCTGCCTGGTGTCACATGACCATAATGTATTCCACGTACCGAATCAATCAAAGGATATTCGTCGTCGTCATTAACTGCTTATCAGGTGGAGGCACTTGTCGGAATTCCGTTATTAATTGTTGTCGTTATTACACAACTGAGGTTGATAATGAATTTGGCTTCATTTCTTGTATGTAATTTATATCCTGCGGTTAAGGGCGTGTAGCTCACCCTCCTCAATCTGCTCATTCTGAGTGACGTAGGGTGATGGGTTGTTAACTCTCTACCCAGTTTCCTTCTGCAGTAATGTTCTGGCCTTGAATTGATTAAAGAAATTAATAGTATTAATATTTATTATAACTGAAATCCTATACTTCCTTACTGTTTCACCTTAATGAAAAGGCCACTATTTAAAAATTGAAGGAATAAGCAGCATCTGTCACTGAGGCCCCTGGTTTCTCTGTCCACCTCTCTTCTTATTTGAACTGTCTCGCCTAACATCCCCGGGTTACCCTAATCAGGGTTCAACACCAGCTCGGACCAGATTCAGCAGAACAGCCTTTCAGAACAACATTGCGGGCCCCTTGATTTTCTTCAGCCTGTAGCGCAGGGCTGCCCAATTCCAGTCCTGGGGGCCCGGAGCCCTGTGTAGCTTAGTTCTTTCCCTGTTCCACCGTAAATGATTCAGCTAAAGAGCTGTGTGGTAATTAGCACAAGGAGTTGAATCAGGTGTGTTAAATGAGGGGAAACTCAAAAATGTGCAGGACTCTGGCCCCCCAGGACTGGAGTTGGGCACCCCTGCTGTAGCGTATTGGATTCATGAATCTTTTAGCATGCAAGATAAACACAGTGGTCTAGCTTTAAAACGTTTTGCTCTCCTTTGGTCTCGTTCCCCTGGTTGTGACTAATCTTCCGGTCATGGGTGAGGTCTGATTGATCTCCGAGTCATCGGCCCCCTTAAGCCTTGCTGAGGATCTCCAGCCTCCACAACCCCTGGTGGGGCTCCACTCTCCACATTCCCTTGACGGTGCCTGGAAACAGGCGTTGTAAACATATGGTGGCGACGGCTCCTCTCAAAGTGCACCCTCCATCCCCGCAACATGGGGGCAGCCTCCCACTCCTCGGTTGGAGGCCCTCCTCGCTTCTGTAGAAGGTCCTTCATGCCAGCAGTGGGCGGAGACCTTTGGCGGAATGTTTGCCAACAGACCATTTGCCAGTGGAGTCAAACCAACCGAGGCTCCAATTTTACCCAGCCTACCCACCAATTAAGCTGCTGTGAGACTGTAATTCCGTTTGCAGGGACGCCAATAGTAATAATAATAATAATAATCCCGCTTTCCTTGAGCGTGGCCCCTCTGGATCCCTGCTGCTCTGTCACACTCCCCATCTGTGCAAGTCACTGCGGCTTCTCCCTGACATACCTGCCTCTGGCTGATGTAACCTGCACCCCATCCTACGCCCACACCTGAAGATGGTCTGTATTTCATCTCGGTGTCTCGGCTCAACAGCTGATAAAATTCTGTTACTAGATGTGCAAAGTGTGAGGCTGGGAAATCTGTGACCATGGGGGGGGGGGCACATTGGCCTTGAGACTGCTGGAACAGAATAACTTGGAGCGGCAGGCTCTCTGACACATCTTGGGGCGGCGGGGGGGATCTCATCAAACTTGGGGATGCTGGTGAACACCGTCCCCCGGGGAGAGCGGAATGTGGAAGGGTGTGTTGGGGGAGTGAATCCACTGAAAGTGCAGGGGAGGTGGGGGGGGGGGGCATCATGGCAGTTTGGAAACCAGAATCGGTCCCTGAGGTAGCTCTGGCTTTTTGTGGAATCGCCTGAGAGGGTTGCATTACAGTGCTCAGGTGTGGTATGTCAGGCGGATGTCGGCGCAGTGCTGGCTGGTCCATAGCCTTCTGTCCTCTCTGTTGTTAGCTATGTGATAAGCGCCGAATTGCAACGAGATGGAAGCTGTGGTATGTCAGGCGGATCTTTGCGGAGATCAGAAGGTGGCAGGAGAATAGGAGATGGGGAGTTGGGAGGAGAGGAGTGGGTTGGGTGGCTGGAGAGAGAGGAATGGATGAGGGAAGTGGGGAGGAGAGGAGCGGATCGGGGGTGAAGGGAAAGAGCCATGGATCGGGGGCTGTTGGCTTGTAGAAGTAGATCGGTGGGGGTGGGAGGAGAGCAGTGAGTCAGGGGTGGAGAAACAGGAGCAATCTGGGGGGGTGGGGGTTGAACTGTGAACTGAGAAAATCGGGAGGCGGATGATAAATGGAGGGGGCGTTCAGCAGTCACTGGGGACATCAGTCAATGTGAGGGTGTCCCATGACATTGGGGTAGGAGGGGGGGATCTGCTATGTGATCGCTACTCTTACCATCACTCGATCTGCATGCAGGGGAATCACATGTAAAAGGACACAGCCGGGCTCCAGATCCCCCACCTGTCCCCCCAGCCTTTGGTCTGCCCCCCAGGGGAAAAGTGTGTACGCGGGATGGTGACTGAGAAAGATGCACAGTCAGAGGAATCGGTCTCCTGCAGGTGAAAGAAACCCTCTTTTGACACCTCCTCCTTGAAACCCTCTTGCATGTCCTCTCTTATGCTCATATAGATGTCGCCAGCAGCAAAACCACCTGCAGTTCAGACTATGTAATCCACCTGAAGCCAAACAGGTTTGAGCCTGGCCAGTACTTCGATGGGAGACCAACTAAGAAAGCTGGGTTGCTACTGGAAGAGGTGTTGGTGTGGCAAACAGGTTAGCCCACCTAGTGGTCTGTGTGGATCACAGTGTCACAGTGTCCCTCGCCCCTCTATAGTGCCATGCCCCTCCTAATTGATGCCAGCCCTCTCCTGCAACTCCCCTCCTGTTGCTCTCTTTCCCTCCTCGGTTCTGTTTGTGCCTGTGGGAGTGGAAAAGCCCCCCCCCAGCCCCACTCCATCTTCAAGGTCAGGAAGGAAGATGATGTGACACCCTGCTGGTATACCTGCAATCAGAATCGCCATGGAGCTTGCAGTGTTCTAGGATGGGATGTATCTCAGAGGGTTCGTGGGCCCATGCTGGCTCTCACCCGTCAGCCCATCTGAGCTGGGCTCCGTGCGACACATAGCGCTATCCTCGCTGCTGTTCTCTCCCGTCTGGGTACCAGTCAGCCCGTGCACAGTGGACATGGGGGGGTGGTCCCGGGGGGTGGGGGTGTTTCACGTTCAGCTGCACATTATCTATCCCTCCTACCACCTGCTGACTACACAGCCATTTTGGAGTCTCTGTTTAAACACAGATTGTAATGTGTGTGTTTCGATCGATCCCATCACTCTCTGCGACCTTGGCGTCTCTGTCAACCCCCCCACATTCCCACCCCGGCAGGATGTCATGTAGAGTCATGCGAGCTCAGCACACTCCAGTGAGATTTTTATTGATGTCATTATATATGTCTGTCCGAAGGCCTCCCTCGAAATTCAAGGAGTGACCCATTACAGCATTGCAGATGGGAAGGCAGGGGATTAGGGGAGGGGGGTGTTGAAAAGGGGTGGTGTGTGTATGTGTGTGTGTGTGTGGGGGGGGGGGGCAAAGGACACTCAGGGCGGTCTAGCATGTCAGTTGGGGCGTGGGGGTTGGTTGTGTCAGTTGGGGGGTGGGGGTCATAATTGCTGCCCCCCAGAGCCTGGGTGGGGCCTCTCGGTGACACCCGCTACCTAATCAGACTCCGATCTAATTACAGTAGGCTCTGTCTGAACCCCAGCCGATGTCTGGCAAGGGCCGGGAGTGCCTGCGGTTCCATGGGGCTTGTCGATCTGTGCACGCCAGGTCCCGTTAAGTCCACTTAGGGCTTGCGTGCTTGGCATTTCTATTCGCATCTGGGGAGGCTGCAATGACTGTCGCGAGGTGTGTTTTCGTGGCACCCTCGCAGTGGTGCCCTTTGTTTTCTTTCCATCTCACGGCCGAAACAATGGAGATCTGCATTTTTAATGTTTAGCTTTCCCTCTCTGTCAAGATATGGTGTATCTGGCAAAATAATAATAATAATAATAATAATAATAATAATAATAATAATTGAAAACATTGTTTTTATTGGAAAAGATATAGACCGTCACTCGCATGGCAGTCCTACTCCAGGGCCGAAAGGTGATGAAATAATTATCTGATATTAATTATGTTTAGCATATTTCTCAATGTCCCGTGTTCCTGTTCTCCCTGACATTCCTCCTTTTGTGTTTAATCTACATTCAAGGAAATCATTAAAATTCCAGCTCTTCCCATTAATTAACTTCTTACCTACATGTGGCTAAATATTACATTTGATGGTGATGGGAGTGGGGGCTGGGGCGGGCTGTGTCGTCCTGGACTGTTTCGTTTGGCTAGCGTGTCCCCAGGGTCTTGCTCCATCAGCTCATTGTCACCCTCATTCCTTCTTTCCCAGGATCGTTTTCCTGATCAAACACTCTATATTGTGGAAACGTACATGAGGAAAACCAGGTCTGGCACAGGTGAGCCAACATGAGCATGCAGGCAGGAACACCACAAAGGAACACAAATAGAAACACGCATATGGGAACACACAGGAATGTGCATGGGCAAATCGGAACACATATGCAGGAACGCACACATGGGAACATGCACGCAGGAACACGCACATGGGAACATGCACACAGGAAAATACATGTTCGAACATGCACATGGGTAACACATACAGGAACACACATGAGAACATGCACACAGGAACATACACATGCAGGAACACACCCAGGAGCTTGCACGCAAGAAGACACAAAGGAACACACACGCAGATGGGAACATGTATGCAGGAACATGGCAGATTCAGCCAGGCCCCTGTGCAGCACTCGTACCTGCTGCCAGAACATATCTTGGTATCTCCCCAGACAGACGGGGGCCATCAGCCTCCCTCAGAACTCAGCTGAAACAAACTGTAAAAAAATAAAATGAGAGTAAAACAATAAAAAGGCGCC